ATGATATCGTTCATTAATAATTGTAACATATATTCCTGTGTTCTGTTTCAAACTGTCATATTGTTTGTATTTTCCTAATACAAATGGTTTGCGCACACATAGTGCTGTTTGTTTCTGTAATCATTTGATCCATAGACATGATGGAAAGACGAAGCATTTGACAAAAAAAAAAAAAGGATGCGTCCTTCTGTGATTGTATATATATATATATATATAACAAATAATTATTTTGGTACATCCTATATGTGTAACATATATAGTACACAATGATCATCTGAGTTAATTTATGCAGTGCCTATTCTTATAATATGTAACATGTTGCTTTTCTTGTTTCCTTCCGTATTGTTGCTTTGTTTCACCTGCGTAAACTAACTTCAACATTGCCACATGAAACGGTGTTACTCCTTACCTTTTGATATGCACAAAAAGGGGGAGGATATCTCACACATTGTACAAGTGAGCATATGCGACAAGTCCTACATCGGAAGGGTGGCATGTGTCATTTGCACACGTAATATATTGTATCATCTGTTCGCCGATATGTGCTACGTGACGCGTAATGTGCCATGGGATTCGCTCAAGATTTTTGTATACATGGAAATACACGCTTCTTTTGAAGTGGCCGTACTGTTCGTAAAATGTTAATCGCATGTTCTTCTTGAAATGTAGTTCTTTCGGTCATGTAAAAGTATAACGCACACCTTTCAATTCAGTCTACAGGGAATCAACATGTCCCGGTGTTCCTGAAACCGGCTCCGTGGATTTCCTGCTTTTTCTTATTGCATAGGACACCGTAATTATATGCAGTTACCCATCTGGACCCTATAGGCTACTGCTGCAATCAGCGGAGTAATTCAATGCTGCCTTCGCCCTAGGCCCAAAAGATTCGTCACCCATGGTCCTTCATGAAGAACCTTTCGCCTTTGACCGTGCTTCGGCCGCACATAGGTGGTGAGTGGCAACATTTCCGTACTGATCCATAATAATGTTGATTCCTTTCTTCGTCCGTAATCCTGCAATGGTTATTAGGGTTGAGGCGTGGCCATAAAGTACTATTTCCTGTTATATTGTAAAAACTGCTTCATCTTCCTCAGCTATACAATATTACTGTAGTTCCAGAGTGATTCCTTTAAAACTCAATTGAGTCATATGCGCATACTCTAATTTCATCATCGTGCCTTTATGATTTGTGGCATACAGTTGTAGGTACTTCCCAGAGTCATTCTTTTTACACATCGCGCGTGTAATTCATTGCGTCCAAGAAAAGAAAAAGCAGAGAAAGAATAAGAGCAGAATTGGACGTAACGCCAAAATAAGGTAATTTGAAGTTCAAAAAAAAAATAACTAAATATTTGTACAAATGAAAAATAATAAAATAATAATAATAAAATAACGTAAAAACACAGAATGCCTGGACAAAATTACAAGCGCGCAACTTTCCAAGGTAAACTGTTGCCGCAGCCGCGACAAAAAACAAAATGTACATATTCAGACGTCCGAGCACATATATTTAGCAGTACACGTAGGCCGTTGCGCTTGTACTGTCACGAATACAATGCACCATGAGAAAAGTACACACAACCGATTTAGGGCCATCGCGCGCAATATGTTTTCGTAAGCGCGCAACATATATGCCTTTATATTATGTGACGCCGCTGAAAATAATTCTTCCGAAAGAACAAATTCTTCCTGCATTCAATTTTGTCCCTTATACTTCTGACGAGTTCACTTCTGAAATTGGGAATCATCCCGTGTGAATATAATTCCGCGCAACGTCTATTATGTGTCTGCAACCATGTATGTGCCTCCTGATGATTTGAAGATTATGCATTGCCGTAGCTCATGATATTTGAGGACCCCGTGACATATGAAAGTGGTTACTCCATACGGGCTCCAACATTTTTACAATGAAATATAAAGTTTACTCAGTACTTTTGCCCGTAACCATTCCTGTTCCTTCCTTTGTTGGTATGAAGCTATAGCCGCCCTTTCTTGTGTACTTTATTCCTTACGCCAAGTCCCAATATGGGCACACACCGTGGACCTCGGCAGCTCCCAATAAGGTCATAGCTCGTTACAGAGTCTGCTTATTCATTGTCGCCCGCCTGAATACACATTCCCCACACTGCCATAAACAGTTGTTACTGCTTTTCGCATAAGCTTTTAGACTATTGTCCCGCTGTATGCGCCTACTGTATCCGCCCAAGTGCGTGTGTCCACTGTGCTTATATTTTGTTCCTTCCTTTATATAACTTCCGTCTTTCCTTAATGTACACGTGTCATGTGCACAGACGGTTTCTATGGCAATGATGGATTCCCTTGGGGTTCCGCCGCACATATAGCACAGTAAACATCCATAAGACTTGACCAAGAAACAGAGAAGAATATATTACAGACCCTGAACAATTATGACCCGTATAATATGACACAAATGTGCTCGACATAATCCCCCGCACACATCATTCCCAATGGACGGAACCCTTCCCTTCCTTTATAACTTGCCGCTGAACCCGCCCCGCACCATGATGTCTCCCACATTTTGTCCACCATACATGGTGCTCTTCGCATACGCACAGTAAACATACCGCTCAATACTATCTCCTGCTCATAACACTGTTGCAACTAATGGACGGCGCATGACACCTTACGTGGTCATTTCGTAAACCAGAATAAACGCCACGTGGAATAGTATGTACGCGGTCAGACGCATTTTTCTGTCAGTTCAAATGCTTTACACATACGGGCCTAATATATACCTCCTATTTATTCCATTTGTCCATATTACTTATGCTACTTTGTCGGATGTCTTAAGAGTATCCTCTGCGCGTACCTCCGTAGATATATTATTGTTGATTCTCCTCAGGAGAATAAATTTCCTTGTGTTCGTATATTCGAGGAACGCAGGGCAGCAGCCACTGTTTCCCTTGTTCCTCTTCTACGTCACATAGCTGATGAGTCATGTAACATCTTTTAACCGCTGTTCATTTTCTTTACTATTATAACGCGGGAACCAGGACAAGGAAAAGGGAACAAAGGACAAGAAAAGAAAAGGATACTATTGAATTACTTAATCAAGTCCAACATTCTAAGAAAACGTCCGATGTAATGTATGTACAAGGCACAAAACGAGGGGAACAGAGTTTCCCATGCAGTAACAGTTAATAGGCACACTGGGACACACGAATTAAGAGAATTCTATAAATGTACAATGTACTATATTGTAATCGCGTGTCCGTTAATAATATAGGGAACGTATAATATATACGGCGCGGTAGAAATATCAGGGGAAGTTCAGTGTACACGCCGGCTGTATAATATAGAGTTCGATATTTCCGCCTCCTCCCATCCACCTCGAATAAATTATCAGTCCTATTCTACGTAATCCCCCTTTTCTTTCGCCTAAAAAGGGAACAGCCGTGTACTCATTCCGACTTATTCCTTTTTCAGTCGAAAAATGGATTCTTTCCCTTAATGAATACATTACTCACAACATACACAGCATGCTACATTTATAAAGATACCGAAATGTCCTATGCAAACAGTGGGCATACTGGTACTCGTCCCCTATTATAACGTGAACATTGTGGTTTGTGGTAGAAGTTATTACGGTTTCCTATACATATGGACTATATAGGCATATGCCAAATGAGAAAGAAACGGGAAAAGTAAAAACATCTACTTACATTACTCCCTGTACGTGTTCTTCTCGGTGTTTTTTATGAGACTACTGGAAATATTTCATACAGAAGTATATTATCCCCCAGGCGGTTGTCTCCCGACGATTGCATTCCCAAACATTCCATAACGACATGTTCCGTGCTCATATTTTCGTCACATGCGCACTTTCTACATATATATAATGTGAATATTCTCTGTGTATGTTCGTCCTACATTCATAGGTTGTACACGCATACGTTTCTCCCTTGAATATTCCTTATTCTGTTATTTCTCATAATACTATTTGTTCTACTATTCGAAACGGCTTCAGAATTACTACATTTCATGATGAATATATTGCTAAAAATATATTTTTAAATAATTGACCCTACGGTGTTTTTCAATATTTACATGAGCCTCAAAACCATGGAACTCCGAATGCGTAACCCCCAAACCCGGAAACCTGGGAACCCCTGAACAGTTGAACCCTGCATTCTGTATATAATATATCCATTCTATAAAAAATAACCCCTTTTTTGACTAATCCGCTTTCACACATTTTTTCGTTTTTATATTAGCATTAACAATTCGCCATGGACATTGTGGTGTATATGAACACAACGGGCTCTATACATTATTTAATATATATACATTAAATGAACCAAGTGCATAACGGTTGTATAACTTATTCTGGCTATATTACCACTGTTGCCATAAGTAAACTATTTTCATAATACCCGAAAGCACCGTTCTGTATATGTACTCTCATAATTAGGTGATATTATATATAATTCATGGTGCGTGCCTCTCCCCGCGCTGTAATTGTTGCTTTGTGATGCTCATACTTTTCTCACCGTTTTCTTTTGCTTCATACAGTTTGCAACATTCGTTAAGCTTTTTCCCTAGTAATAAACAATAACGAAAATTCTTCTTAATATATTTGTTTCCCGAAAATATTATAAAAATAGTAAAATCACCTTTTTATTCTTCTATTTATGTTTACTGTATTTTTTGTCATTTTATAACAAATTACCCATCTCCTAAACATATATATTAGGTTTCTATTGATTTTGTGTAATGTATGTAATGCCAGTGTGACTACTACTAAGAAAAAAATATATGTGTTGTTTTTGTCGATTACGAGTAACCATTTCATATCATATTTATTTTTATCGAGTACAAAAAAACTAGCTCTAGTGTACTTTTCATTTTAAGTTACTTTCAATTGGAAGTGTACAAAAAGCTTTAAAAACAAAAATTCGTATTGCTTAAAAAGCAATTGAAGCTTTTAAAAGCAAAAAAGCATAAACTTTAATTACAAAAAAAAAAAAAAAGTCAAGAACATGAAGAAATATACGGCTAGTAAGAGTACTAAAATGCTGTTCCTTTGCTGCGAACTGCTTCTATTTATTTGTTTCATCTGTGTGTTACAAAATGTTAATCATGTAAGATAATAATATGCATGTGAAAAATAACGCAAAATAAAAAAAAGAAACCGTTATTGTTGTATTCTACATGCTGCCCTAATGTCATCTTATGTAAGTAGCACTGTTCCATTACTAAGAGGCTTACGTGAATACCTCGTGTTGTAGACAAATGCATACATGCCTTTCTTGTTTCTTTTGTCTTCTCTGTTTTTAGGGCATACATTATAACCCTAGGACCTGTCCACAAAATGACAAATCCAGGAACAATTTAATAAACAGCAGACAATTAGCTTTACTACATGGACCTGGCTTTCATGACCACTGTAGCGAGACCATTGTGGAAACTCCTAGATCAACAAATCCCAATTCCATTAATACATATGTACGTAATGAAGGAGGACACGATTGGCCATTTGATCGAACCAGGTTAAATAGAATACACCATCACACAGTACCATATTCCCTTATGCTTCATGTACAACTACATATATACCGGCGATTACCAACTTCATTCATAACCTACCATTTCCCCCCTTTATATTCCTCCCTGCAGGACTCGTATTACTCACCATTCACATCATCATCGTACACCAATTGTTTCACCAGTGCACCCGGCAGTACCGGTTGTACCGACAGTACCGCCCGTGCCGACCGTACCGGGAGTATCGGTTGTACCGACAGCACCGGGAGTATCGGTTGTACCGACAGCACCGGGAGTACCGACAGTACCAGCTGTACCGGGAGTACCGACAGTACCAGCTGTACCGGGAGTACCGGGAGTACCAGGAGTACCGGTAGTACCGACCGTACCAGCCGTGCCGACAGTAGGGACAGTAGTTGATACTGCTATTCACGGTGCCCTCGGACATGCTGCTTTGCCTTGTTCACTATTAACCGGATGTATGGGATTCAGGGCGAGATATATTACCCCAATGATGTCGATGTATATGGGGTTACCATATTATGGTAGAGGATTGGTAGCAGTTGCATGACTCGCGATACCAATACTTATTGTTTGGCTTTTTGTCACATTCATTGCGCCGTCGCCCTAGGACCTATATTCCTTAGTTAGTTTCTGTACAATGGAGAACACAGAATACGAAAAAGTGTACATTGTATTTATCAAAATGGAAAGTATAATTAATCAATACGATGACCATTATAAATAACCGAAATTAGTAAAGCATAATATCATAATATTATGAAAAAAGCGAAAGACCCCAAAATGACTAAACTGATCAATATAACTTATAGTTAATTACTCATTTATAGAATATTAAAAAACGATACAATCCAAATGACCTATTCTAACTATCCTATACAATTACTTACACTTTTCAATGAATGAATACTCATTTTTTCTTTAATATATAAATATTCTCGGGTAATTTTTCTTCTTAAGATATATTTGAATTTGTCATCCTAAGAAATATCCATGTATGAATACATAAAAATAAAGTTAAATCATAGGGTACATATATTTTGATGTTCATCTGTACAATAATTTTTTGTCTTATGAAAGCCATAAAATTCCGAGATTTAATACATGTGTATATATAAACTATTCGTTTTTATCACATTTTAATCAAATATTTATCAAAAAAAACAAATTTATGCGGAGAAGGGACAAGATTCAAGCGTTCAGAGTTCAGGATCTATCATCTACGATCTAAAGGTCTAGGATATGGGGCTTATGGGTTCCAGGGTCTACCATCTAAGATCTAGGATCTAGGGTTTATGGGTTCCACGGCCAAGGATGTAGGGTCTATGATCCAGACTCAGCGATCTAGGTTGTAAGATTTAGGATCTACCGTCTAGGATGTACGACGTACATTCTAGTTTGTAGGGTCTCACAGTTCACGGTTTTAGAGTTTAATCCTCAATAATCTACGCTTTCAATGTTCAGATTAAAGGGTGCAATTTTTCATAGTTTCCGAGTTTATGAGGTTTAGTATTTAGAGGTTCCTTTTGCTGTTTTGCCTCTGCATGCAGCATCGTTTGTCAGTGCTAGTCCTGCCTAGTCTTCGTGTGCTGTTCTTTGGTTTACCGCTCTTCCATTGTACCCTCTCTTCGCATTTAATTCGTTTTGTTCCCTTTCTCCTTGCGCTTCCTTCTTTGGCATCCCTGCTATTCTGCTGCTAGCCGTTTTCTGCCTCTCGCGAAACGCCGTCACTGCGTCCTCGTAAGAAGGAGGAGGATTGTGTCTCCGAGCAACGCGTCGACCAACGCGGCCGAGTGTAAGAAGGCGGAGAGATTGTCTCTCCGAGCAAACGTGGCCGGGTAAACCAGATTGCCTCCGAGTGTAAGAAGGATTCGACGAAGTAGCCGCGTGACAGAGAAGCGTTGACGGAGAGAGCGTTGACGGAGAGAGCGTTGACGGAGAACGGGACGTGTGTATGTATTTGTTGTTGTTGTTAATGAACGCGCTAGTAGTAGTAGTAGTAGTCGGACTTTTTTTTTTTAAGAAGGGAATAAGTAGTTGTATATTATGCA